ATGGCCTCTCGAGAAATCCCCTAGTCCGAAAGTACCTAAGTACCGCGCGTGAATCGGCCGCGATACATTGCGTTTTAATGCTGCCGTAAAGAAAGAGCAACTTTCATAAGATTACATCGGAAGCTCCATAAATGATCGTAGCCGGTATTTCTCATTATTTATCGACGATTATTAAGCGATGTCAAGAGTCTAGTCCCTCGAAAGGACTATATTCGATACAAGATCTTGTCTCGCGAGATTGCCACTAAATTCACGTTGAGCCCCGAGTCTCCTCCTGCGGTGGAATTTCTTCGAATTACGGTCGCTATTTTTACGAGCGCGTAAATCGTTCGAAGTTTCATTTGTTCGTGACACGTTGGTGACACTTTTTGCGACCGGATAATCGCTCGACCGCTTGTTAATACAGCGAAGATCGACCGCGCCGAATCTTTGGCCTGTCTATTCCGTCATTTTTCAAAGTGTTTGTCTTTAAAATCAATTTAGAAATGAATATAAAATTGCAGTGTGAATGACCATTTTAATCGTCTAATAATTAACTGTATATCGAAGTTTATTAAGAAAGTGAACAATCGACTGCGAATGTTATATGTATCTTACAGTTTCAGAATTCTTTCAATCAACATTCGAGGATTCCCACAACGAAAAGATTCGTTTATTACATTCAGGCCAAAGGCATAATACATGAACTTACGCCAAGTAGGTGCCCTTCGTAGCAGGTAGAAGTTCGTCTCGGTCCAGACTGCTCGATTCGTCCGACAGGTCGAAGCTGACGCTGAAGAACTCGCTGCTGGATACCTGAAAAATTGATTTTTTCGCGAGTTTCTCGACAGGCTGAACCGCAATTATTTGAGTAAACTTGACGTTTCACCAACGATCTTAGTACCGGGTGCCCCGAACTATCGAACCGAGAGTTCAAGCATGTCTGTGTGTCTAACTTTAGATTACGGCGCGCGGATTCGGAAGCGGAACTCAAGAATACTACAGACGGTACCTCGGGCGGTGAATTTGGCAGGAACGTTCTGTGGAACGTGCGGAACTCTTTGACTTATGTAACGGCTTCGTAATTGCTTCTTCAGCCGGATATTTCGAAAATTGACCCAGCTTGAGAGGATGAATCTGATTTATCGCGCAGTTTACGTGCGAGATTTTATGCACGTAGGTTGATTTTCAGTTAATACATGGTGAAAACGTGTCCGGAGTTTGATATGTGAAAGACAGGGTCGGTCGGGAAATTCAACATTTTCGGCGTGCCTGATAAGCTGTGCAAAATGCATCATGTAAAATGCACTGCAGATGGAATTCTTTAATCTTGGACTCCGATGTCATTTCAACCGTGCATGTTATATATTTATGTGTGTCATATTCTGACGTTTCATTAACTGTAGTGAAACAGTCTATCTTGATTATATTTGTCAAATTTGGAACCAATCTAATGAAATAAAAAAAAATATATATATATACAAAAATACAATATTTACAAAAAATATCACAAAAATATTTAATTAATTGTCTAATTTTTAATAAATATCTTACTTCTCTGTTCATTTCCAAATTGTTTCCAAATTTGTCAATGTAATCGTAATATAATTTCGTCCCCCGTTGTAATGTTGATGAAATTTCAAAACTGTGTCCTGTACACGACACAGGCACAGTACACGCATAAAATATCTTCTATATTAAATATAATCAAATATCCTTTTTTTGTTTTAATCTAAATTCATCAAAGAGTTAGATCTCATTGTTAGACGCCGAGAGACAAAGAAAGGACAAAGAAGAAAATGTAAAAGTGTAGTGAAAGCAACAGTAAAGTTTCGATCAAATCGCGCCAAGCGTGAAACTACTTGCGAGTCATAGCGTGTAGCTTGCGAAAACGCTGAGTGCCCGTCTGAACTCTATACTAGCTTGCGATGATAGGCAATAAAATAGGGAAAGGCTTTCATTTATGAAGCCGTCGGCTCTCACATGGAAAATGGATCGCGCTCATTTGCCACGACCTTTTCCCTGTCACTTAGTTTTACAATCGCCTCCCGTTTATTGCCGCTCGTATTTTTCTCATTGCTCCGTTTAACCGATATTACTATCGCCTGTCGCCTTTTTCTTTTCCTTCCGCCGGTTTCGGATCATGTCACGAAGGATTTTACCTCGGTGTTACGTTCTCGCGCGACAGTTGCAACTTTCCGAGACAGAAACGGGGTTTGTTTCGTGACACGTGCACGTACTGTATTCTTTATGGCACATAATTTTTACGCGTTCCTCTTTTATGGATATCGTGTCGCAGCAATGCTGAACTGCGGACAGGAAAAACATGGCAAGCAGTTCGAGGATTAATCTCGTCGAGTTACTTCCATTGGTATCTTCGAAATTCAGAATGTTGACAAATTTAGAAATTTATTAATCCGTATAAAGGATCGACAATGATCGTTCGGTCAACGCAACGTTTCACTTGCAATCCTTCTCGGTTTACGTTTATATCACTGAATTTTATTTTTTAATAAATGAGAGAAAATTCCAAGGATCTTTTAATATTTCTAACTCCAATAGGTCTCTTGCATACATTTTGTGAAACTTCGTGAAAGTTGAGGTATTCATGTTGCGGTAAATTATTCCTTGTTCCTTAATGAGACAGATTCTACGATTTTGCGAAGTTTCAGACAAGTTTATATTACGATAAATTACTGCTTGATTTGGGTCAGTAATAGATTCCACAAAAGTCGCTTGCGATTAAAACTCGTTTGAGTGAATGAATTACGAAGAGCTTTAGAACTCGTGTATAGAAATTTTATGTCAGCCGCTTAAATCCTACAGTCAGCAGAAAAAAATCTAAACTATTACTTTTAATGGTTGGTCCTCTTCATTTTAGTTTTTTTCTTTCGTTCTCTTTATTTCTTTTTTCCTTTCTCTCATTTCTGCTATTTTTCTTCCTCTTTATCTTTTTTTTTT